AATTAACTAGTCTAGGTTTAATATTGAATAAAATTTGGTGTTAATAGATATTTTACCTTCATTAGACCGCAGATTGGGATTCGAATCACTAATAATTAAATAAGCCGTGATGTGACTAAAACAAAAGAAATTTAGGGATACGCTGCTCTGATAAGCAAATATCGCATTATTCGTTGCCTCTTTTAAAAGCACTTCTCTCTGCCGTGCAACTTTGTGTTCTTCCTTAATCGCGTTGACTGGTCTATCCATCATCTTCTTCTTCCTACTTCTATGCAATCCTTTCTCTTTTGATCCACACTTCGGATTATCTGTACCCAAAAGAAATCGAATATGTTGGGTGCAGGATTGGAATTCGGGAGAACTCGAGGCGAAGATCGCTTTTACAATCCTCCTAAAGCGAGAAGAGAGAACCGGAATCAGCAGAACGATCAGCCATGGAGAGATCATGCCGATGTTTCCGCGACTCAATCGAAGGATAAACCCATCGTCGTCACTCATGTGACCCGGGAGTCTCAGAAGGTGATTGGTTCAACTGACAATCACAAACCGGTCTCGATTCCCTCTTCCGAACCGATTGTTTCTCCTTTGAGTAATTTAGAGCGGTTTTTGGAGTCGGTCATGCCTTTCGTCCCTGCGCTCCATCTCTCTAAGGTTTATTCAATCTCAATTTGATAATGTTTTTTGGGTTGTTTAATTCCTTGTGTATTTCTTTCGTTTAAATTAGTTTTCCTTATAAGTGAAAACGGGAATAATTTATTTGACACTGTTTATCAAGCTGTGAAACTAAATTTATTTAAAAAACGTGAAAATAAAAAAATGGTGTAAATGAGTATTTTCTGTAAAAAAAATGTGATTGATACGTAAAAGTGGGGTGTTGCAGACGAAGATGAGAGGGTGGCGAACGCGTGCGGATGAGTTTGAGCCATATTTTGTGTTAGGTGATTTATGGGAGTCGTTCAAAGAGTGGAGTGCATATGGAGTAGGTGTCCCACTAATTTTGAATGACTGTGATTCTGTTGTTCAGTATTATGTACCTTATTTATCCGGTATTCAAATATACGCTGATCCCGTGAAGATGTCTGCCAAGTCAAGGTAAATTATACATTGCTATCGTTGAAGTTTATTCTGAGTACACTTTGATATCTTATTATTAATTTTAGTGTTGTGTATTATTCTTACCGTGAATTTTATTGAAGTCCCCTGATTTTTCAATGCCTCTTTGCTATATTCCTATGTTGAGGGCTTGTTGCTTGCTTTGAACAGAAATTATACCGTTCCTGTCTATTTAGTTAAAGCGTGATGCTCTTCTTGGAATGTAATTAAATACACTCTATAACTCTGAAAGTTTGGTTATATTGCTCACATTATCTCAAGTCTCCTGTGCTGCATTATCTGGATTTAGCTGTTCTTTGGTTTAAGCGTTCCTTCCCCTGTGTTAATTATGATGGGAATATTTATAACTTCTATTATAGCATTTTTTTGTGGAAGTGAAGATAAGTTCTTGTCTTGATGAACCGCATCTCTTCCTTCCCAAGGCAAAATCATTTTTATTGTGTCCCAGTTCGTATTTAATGTTAAAATGCTATGTACGTGATGACAATTTTGAAGTGAACCCATAAATGTGCCTTAAAAGTGAATCAATCACTGTGTTTTAAATAAAATTATGCACCCCAGTATTTTTTGTGGGGATATCGACTCAATGATTTGTTTTCTGTTTAGAATTTTTCAATAACCAGGTTGTATACAGAGTTGAAATGGTGAACACTTCTATTTATAATTTTTTAATTCTTTTCTTTGTTTGCTTCCTCTCGTTCTCTGGTCCAAGCATATGAATTTGATGTCAATTCACCTGACCCCCCCCCCCCCCCCAAGAAAAAAAAACCCACCCTTTTTTCTATCAAAAAAAAAACCCACCCTTTTTTTCACTTAATATGTCAGCAGTTGTTTACATTTTGGTTCTTGCATCAAAATTTAAAATAATACAAAATATATTTTATTATATTGTATAATTATTGATTCCCTTTAAGATAGGCAACCAGGGGAGGACAGTGATAGTGACATTAGGGACTCAAGCAGTGATGGTAGTAGTGATTGTGAACTTGAAAGAGGAGCAAATGTTTCGAGAGAGAAAAGAAATCACCACATGGACAGATTGTTCATGGGAGACCAGCAGATACTTCAAGAAGACTTCTTTAGTCACGAGGGCGAATCTGTCAACTCCCGAAGTTGTCTGATTTTTGAATATTTTGAACAAGACACTCCTTACAGCCGTGAACCTCTAGCCAACAAGGTTAGTTTACATTCCTCTCCTCTCTTTTCTACCGCAGGAGGTTTTTAGTGTCCAGAACAATGCTTCTCCCTTTTGTTCAGCTCCTAAACTTATCCGTGGGAACAGATCGTAGATCTAGCTTTCCGATTCCCCGAATTGAAGACGCTAAGAAGCTGTGATTTATTATCTTCCAGCTGGATATCTGTGGCATGGTATAATCATCCTTTTTTCTTGACATTACATTTATTGTCAATCTTGTTTTTGCATATATGATATCTGTTATTTTGAATTTCTTGTAGGTATCCAATTTACAGGATACCTACTGGACCTACATTAAAGGATCTAGATGCTTGCTTTCTGACTTATCATTGTCTTCATACACCTGTAGGAGGTAATATAAAACTTCTTTTTAGAACATTTTTCGCTACGGGTGTAGACGTGGAAGTGATTCTATGCTTTCTTGTTGAGCGATCTTTTCTGGCTTTGCTTGTAGTTGTGAATCTTTTTCATCTCTAAAAAGTTTTGTGAACAACTGTATCAAATGGTGTCGAGAGTCTCTCATGGTGTGTCTAACAACTTGTAAAACCTGAGAAGTAATACTGAGGGTTTTAAGAGCCATATCTTTTCTTCATCTCATTTTCTCAAAAGTTTACTGCTTGACAAAAATCTTTCCCTGTTTGAACTCAATTGTATTTTCCGTTCGTTTCTTAGTAAATAGGGATGTTGTTTGTAGCAGCTTTTTGCAACTGAATATTTACTAAAATACAGAGCGCATAAGCTGGTTTTTATAGACTTGCCATTAATCAGAAATAGTTTGTGCTTGCTTAAGTTTTGGTAGCATCCATGTATTGGCAAAGAAATCTTTGTCCGTTTTCTATGCTGTAACTAGTCATATTTCAGGTGGACAAAGTGCTCAGTCACCGACCATGACATGTTCCAATGACATGGATGGTCTTCCAAAGATGTCGTTGCCAGTTTTCGGTCTTGCTTGGTACAAGTTCACGGCTTCATTGTGGACACCCAATGGAACAAGTGATTGTCACTTGGCAAACCTCCTCTTTCAGGCTGCAGACAATTGGTTGAGACTTCTTCAGGTCAATCAGCCAGATTTCACATTTTTCTGCCGCAGGTGATATTCAGATTTCCCTGTAATGTTAGTATACCTTTAAATACCAGAGGAGGGTAAGTGCAATCATTACTCATCGAACATCACCTACAAATTATAATACCTCGGTTTTGGAGGTGAAAATCAAAGTGCAGTCTGGGGCCTGTCTTCTTGTATAAAAGAACTGGGGAAAATGTATGGCACAGAATACTTCAGGATCGAAGTGAAGTAAAGCTTTTGAAATAAGGCTTTAGAGGAAGAGAAGGGAGAAAACTTCAACATCAGAAGCTGGAGTACAGAGCTTGAGCCCCAGTGTGAAAGTGGTTTTCCCCTGCCCTGATGATATGTTATCGTTTTCTCCTCCCTATTTCTATTTGGAATTATGGATAAGTAAGAAAAAGCAGGCCCTTTTTTGTTTGGTGTCCTGATGGTCAAAATGTAGGATTTCATGTTCTACTTGACATTAAAAAGGGGATTTTGGTATGTTGGTTGTTTGAGATGTCCCTTAATGTGTTTGTAATGCTAATTTTAATTACTAATTTATAATCTCAGACAAACGGTGTGTTAAGAGAAGGGATACTAATGAATTGGAGTTTCTGGTTTTATGCTCTGAATAACAACAATTAGTTCCACTACAAGTGGTAATGCACATGAAGTATAATGTGATTCGAGGTGATCCCTTTAAAGGAAATAGACTTTGCTTAAGCAATTTTACTGTTCAAGTGATTACTCAGTTATATGTTGCATCATCCGAGGACAGTCTAACCGGCATGTAAAATTTGATGGTTTTTTTAAAATTAGTTTAAGATGATTATAATATACTACTGAAAGTTGTTTAATGAATTCATTTTGACAGAATTTATAGTTGTATTAACGATTGAAATAAGATTTTTAAATCTAAAAATAATAATATAGTTCGGATTAAATTTTAAAATATTTTATAGTATAAGAAATGCTGGCATATTTTAACCATGATTTAAATATTGGACGATAGGAGTTAGGAGCGAAATTTGAAGTGAATCTGATACAACATTTGACTGAATAGGTACGTGTTTGACATGAAAGTAGTAAAAAAAATTATTAATCAAATGATTAACAATTATTTGATTAATAAATTTGTCTTTCTTTCGTTACACAAAAACAAAGAGGAACTGAGTTTAAAGAAGACTTCATTGGATGCGATACAACACCTAACTGAATAGGTTTGTGTTTGCCATAAAATTAGGAGTGGGGCCCTGTACATGGTCGCAAGCAAGGATGCAGAGGAATGAAAACGAACGTAAATTCGAGGATAACAAAAAGAAGGGAGAGATATTTCCAGGTGGATGAAGAATTAAACAAAGTAAAAAGGACTTTTGGTATAATATAGTGGCCTAATTGACAACATTTTTAATTTAGTGGTCAAAATAATATAAAATTAATAGTTTAGTGATCTTGGTGTAGTTTACGCAAAATGATAACATCAGTGTATGATTTGGACAAAAAAAAAGTCCCAAAAATGATTTAAATGGTATACAAAAGATCATGCTCTAAGCTGAAATCATGTGGCTGGTGCAATTCTCCCTCCGTTCATCAAGCACAGTGAATAGCAACATTACATCAACATCAACCGGACGGCACGGCACCCCACTAACCATTAGAAATGGGCGTCATCCATTTCTATCCAAACTCCAAACTGCAAACCATGTTCCTTCCCCGCAAAGCCACTCATCTAATTCGCAAGGCTAATGTGGCGGCACACTTCACTCCACCCCCAACCGTCGGCTTCTCCGCCGCTAACGTAAGCCGCGCAATGGTCACCATGAACAAGGACGGCCTCGGAGTCGATACCCACGAACTCGAACCCATATTCCAACAAAAACAATCTCTTAGATCCAAAGTACGCAAAGCTCTAAAAAACATGGACCCGATCCAGAAATCTCAAGAAGGTAGCTATATAATATCAATTCAATATGTGCTTTCAAGTTCTACTTTTGATTGCATTCTAAGTGTTTGTTCATTTGTCTCATCGGGTATTTTTCTGCCTTGGGCTTCAGATAATGCTATTCAGAATACTGTTGTGGAGTCTTCATGGTTCAAAGCTAGTAAGAACGTATGTGCTTACATAAGTTCTCCTGCTTTACTCGAAGTCGACACCTCAAGGATTATCTCGGAAGTTTTGTCAAGTCCTGCTAAAGGTTTTTTTTTTCTGGGTTAAGTTTTAGATTTTGATTGTTATTTTTTTTATTTATTGTTTCGTATTGAACTTTGAAGAGAGGAAGAAACTTTATGTTCCACGGGTGGTGGACAGGAATAGCAACATGAAAATGCTGATGATATCTAGTGTTGATGATCTTATTGAAAAATCAATGAACATTTTGGAACCAGCCTTAGTAGATTCTGATGGGATCCAACGTGAAGACGGTGCTCTCCTCTCCTTATGTGCTTTTCATTTTATTATTGTTATTTGTTAAATTGGTGTTTCTTCCCTTCCCTAGGTCCATAACATCAACTGTTTCATGCTCCATAGCTGTCTGATCCATTAACTAGTATGTATGCTTAAAGATACTCGTCTGGTCATCATTTCTTTGGGTGCATGCATTGGTATTTAAGATTGTAAGTGGGCTGGGAAGCTAAGCCTAAGACGCTGCATTTCAACTTCTTCAAATTATGTTGCAAAGCGATTTTGTTACCGAGTGTATATTACAATGTGCATTTTGCCATCAGTTGGCTTTTGTTGCCTTTGTTTGTTTTATCAGTCAAATTCAATATTTTGGTACAAAGTTCTATAGCTATCAGCTTCTGATTGGAATAAGGAATTGAAGCATCTACTTGTTTCTGGCTTTTTTATCAATGACTCATGCTGATTGTTTATAAGAACAGATGTTTTTCAGACTGTTAACCCATATTTGCTTTTATTATTCATCCATTGCAGCAACATATGTATGTTTAATATTCTTAACACTACATCACCTTGTGGATTTAATGTAGACAAGTCGATTTCATGTTTTTTTGTCTTCAGGATGTTCATTAGCTGATTCATGTTCTCGTAAAAATACAAGTATAAAAATATTTTGTTACCTTTTGGGTTTCCACTCTAGGAAGTACTAGTTCTTTTCCATTTTGGTCTTGAATTATTCAAAGTTTTAATTTCTTGACATAACTAAGTGTATGATCCCAAGCCTGTTTCTTGGTTTATTTCATGGAAATGCTGCATATAGCTTTTTTGGCATTAGAAAGGTTGCTAACTATTTTTGAATTTCCCAGTGCAGTTATGCAGGCAAGTGATCCACTCGACCTGTTTATAATGCCCGGTAATTGCCTTCATTCTCCTGTTCGATGTTTCCTAAACGATGAAATTTCGATATAACTGTTTAATCTATGTTGTAACTTTCACATTTCTACTTGCCAATATGACTCCCTCAAAAACAGCATGAAAAAAAGGGAAAACTAACATTCTCAACATCCGCACTTAATGGAGAATTGAAGAAGCAAACCATGGAGTGCCGATATCTAGACATCGCACTTTTTTTTATTGTGCTTCATTTCTCTTTCTGCTTGGATTGCATGCAAGAACTCATTGTATTTCCTTTTCTATCAGGGCTTGCATTTGACAAATCCGGAAGCCGTCTGGGACGAAGTGGGGGGTGGGTTAACACTTTCCAACTTTCTGGTTTATTTTTAATTCATTTTTAATGGCATTGTTAATAATCATATTCATTACCGTCAGTGTGGTTCTATTTGCTATATTGGTTTTTAGGGTTCTTTCCGTCCATAAATATATGACTATTAGATTCAATACAACTGCTCGCACATGACCCTGAGGTGTTTACCAAAGAAGTTATTTACAAATTTGAAGATTTCTATTTGTACTTTCATTTACTTATGATTTGATTATATTGTCTTCTAACATTATTGCTTATGTTTCCCCCTTCATGTCAATTATTGATAATATCTGGAAGTTACTATGATTTGTTCCTTAAGAACTACCAAGAGCTCACAAAGAAGAAGAGATGGAAGCAACCCCTCCTCGGTAAGTGCCACTGATGCTCCTCGATGTAATTTGCACAATACAATACTGTTTTAAAAGTTTGCTCGACTATTATTCGGTTGCAGTTGCACTGTCATATTCAGTTCAAATTATTGAGGAAGGAGCAATACCAGTTACTCCCTTCGACATTCCGGTGGATGCTCTTGTTTCTCCTGCTGGTTTCATTCCGATAAGCACAGCTGCTTTCCGGAGATGTGAGTGAACAAAGCCTTCTGGTTCCGTTCGGCAGTTGCATAATGATTGTGTTTCACTTCATAAGAGGCTTGCGTCTAAAGAAAGTGTATGTATCTTGGATGAGTGATCGGATAATCAAATAATGGAACATTTTAATAAGATTTTTACAAAAAAATCTGATTAGACATTTGTCCCTGTGGTTAGGGGTTAAACTAGATTGCAAAAACAAAGTTTATGACTTTTGAAATTATCATTGTTTAGGTTGATTTGAGAGATATTCTTTGTGGGGGGGGGGGGGGGGGTTAGTGTCCAAGGAAATCTACGATTGAATTAGTGAAAAACTTGTTAAGCAGGAAGATTTTCGTTGTTGATTTACTGAATTCTCGAAGTGGTGGAGACAAGGCGTCGATCGAAGGGGCAATTGGTGCCACAAACGGTAAGTTTTCGTCTTTGTTAATTTTTTAAGAAAATATATGATGAAAATTTGGTGGGATGTATGGTATGTGGGTTCAATATGCAGAAAATAAGAGAATATCAATAAATTAACTTTTCCATATCCATTTTCTATAATAATGATTAAATTGTTGGAATTTTTAAATATGAAATATGAAATTTATTGAATTATTTTAAATCAATATTAAATTGATAAAATATGTAAGTTCTGGAAACTAAAATTATGATTATGTGAAGTCATGTCATCGTCTTAACAAACGATAACTTTATTGATGATAAAATGAAAGTCGTTTCGTAATTTTCATTTTGTAATTAGAATAAAATTGACCTAATAAATTTATGACCAATTTAGTAGTTTAACCTTGAAAATAAATGTTTTATTAGGACTGAAGCTATCAATTTTCTTGAGTGTGATGATGATGAAGATGAAAGGGCACCAACATTTTAAAGAAATGAATCCAATGGTCTTATTATTTAGAGAGAAAAAAAAGACAAATACACTTACATATAAAAACATGGTAAAGATCCACTAAATGAATTGTTGTCAATTTCTTATTCAAAGCAAACAATCTCAAGATTTGGCAGTTCCAGGAGCAGCTCCTCTCACTCTGCCCATAATCATCTTGGCGAACTCCGCAAGCTTTTCAGTCTGGAGCATGACATCCTTAACGGCATCATGAGAGCAGAATTCGTGCGCCCACTTAAGCAGATGAGGAGGGTAGGTCTCATTAAGCAACCCGATACCGGACATCTTCTCTATCACTCTTAGCCAGCCTAGGAAGCACCCAAGTGCGATGTCGAGATATCCGATTCGATAGCCTCCGCCTCCCTCTGCTGCACTCATCAAATACCTCCTCCAACAGCACCAGCCCTTCCTCCACTTCCCCTATTGCTGCTCCCCTTGCATCCTCTCCTTCTGCGATGCCAATTGCTCTCATGGAAGGGAGCCACTACAATACACGGCAAATAATTAAATCCCAAAATATGTTAACCGTTAGCTAATAACATTCGACTACAATGCTTCAAAAAAAATAAAAGGTACAAAATGCAGGTACCTTTTCGTCAAGATAGGCAGCCAAGAAGCGAGCGTGGGCACGTTCATGGGGTTGGGAAGGAAGAATGGAGGGAGCAGAAGACCAAACCTCATCGACATATTGGACAATAATGAGGGACTCACAGATGGTGTTATGGCCATGAATAAGGTCAGGGACCTTCTTGTGAACAGGATTGGAGAAGAAGGTGGCTTTTACCTTCCCATGGCCTTTCCTGAATAAATTCGTAGTCGACAGACTTGATGTTAAGGGCGATCCTTTCCCTCATCACAAATGGACTCGACCACATTCCCAACACTTTCACTTCCCCATCACTCTCTGCCATGCCTAGTTTCTTTACTTGTCTTCACCCTACAAGTGCTTATATATAAATTGATGGAAAATGCAGATGGAACTCAGACTTCATAATATTAAATGAGTTTTTAATTGTTTATTCTCGATGTAGTCATGTCAAGATTGTGCTTTCTACATTAGTCATTAAATTATTGTATTTTTTATTTTAGTCATCAAACTATTTATTTAATTAAAAGAATATTTAACTTTATATCTTTTTAATTTTAGTCACGAATGATTAAAAATTAGTGATTTGTTATTTTATAATGTTTTCAGACCAATAATGCTCAACTATTAAACTATATTAATAATAATGAGTTTTCCCCATGGTTAGGTGATGGGAAAGTGCATCTGTACGAACAAATGTAGAATTATGAAGCGATTAAACGTATTAATATGTCATCCTTTCTCTTCGTTAAGTCGCGGCTGTGTTTTAAGCAGGGATGGATTAAATGGAGGCGAAGAAAATTGTTATTTTTTAAAAATTATAAATTTTTATATAATTTAAATATTTTTATTTATTTATTTACTCATTTTTCTAAATTTTATAAGTTTATTTCTCTTAAAAATTTATAGAATTATCTATATTCGCTTTAGATCATTCGCATCTGTAACAACATAAAATTTTGTGTTGATTTTTTATTCTAGATCATACCTAATGCTTTAGATCAATAGCATATTTTCTTTCAATTCGCTCTGATCTCATAGCAGGGTAAGTCGAATTATTGTTTTATCTTCCTTCTTCGATATCATAATTATGGGTGAGTCTAGAATATAATCAATTAGCATAAGACTAAAAACGACATAAATCAATTATAATTGAAAATACTCTCCCCCTTAGATGTAAATTAACCTCAAGATGTAATCTGACTTTCTGGTACATGCTGCTCAAAGAACTAAAATGCAATTTCCTGCAGAATTTGAAGTGTTTTCTGATGAACCTGGATTGAAATAAATAAACCGAACCACGGAGAAACGGTGATCAATATGACTGGTTAAAACTTAAAACGGTTCTACAAGCTTACGTGCACAAAGCCCTCGATGAGAAGAAGCAAATTCTAGTTCATTTAAAAATATGAAAAGTGGAATGTTAATATGTTAATTTATGACTAGATTTTACTTCAAAGTTCCCAATTAATTACCGACCACCTTTAGTCTTTAGGCTGATCCATAGAGGATGCACCATGTATAGCATGCGAAGGTATTATAATAACATGAATGCACTCTAGTTAAACTGTCAATGAGAGTTTGGAAGAAAAGAATAAAAGATTCTAAAAAACGAGAAATAGCTGATGTTAATGATTTCTACGGTTGAATCAAATGTATGGGATCGATTTTGAGGAGTTACCAAGAAGGCAAGGTAAAAGATAACTTACCCATTCTAAATGTTGTGCTGTTATGCCAGAAACATTTCCACTATATATACCACCCAACACCTAAAAACGCAAACAAATAGTTTCCATTACTATTGATCTTGCAAGTAGAAAAAAGTCAATCAACTCTTTGCATGGCTTTAGGTCCATCGATTGAGTGAAAATCATGTTGCCTAAAAGTGTACTAGAAATAATACCTTTGTGACAGTCTCAAGAAACATGCCGGGACGAACAGGAAGTGGTTTTCTCCCTGTAACACTGCCCTGGTTACCATGAGAAGAAGAGAGTGAATAAACTGGAATTTCAATGACTGAACACGTCAGCCATTCCAGCCATATTTTAATCAAAAAATGAAAAAGTATATGAATGAACATAAATCTAACCCTTCCTGCAATTCCTCGAGGTCTCGTTCTACCAGAATTAGCTTCTTCATCAGTGTCAGAGTGGTCTGCACCTTCATCTTTCCCTAGCATTACATTTCTTATCATTTCTTGGACAGTTTTCCCAGGTTTCAGCGCTACAAGTTTTGTCAAGAAGTTAACCTGCATTGATAAGATCAGAATCATGCCAATATAATAAAAACTAAAGTATATTTGTTTTGGACCAAGAGGACCATCGATAGCTTATTTCGGTATTAAATTGTATCATATTCTGTGTGGGTATGTTTGGGTGTTTGTTAATGTTCATTGCTTCTCACTCTGTTTTCACTCTCCATGTAGGCCTGCATTCACAGTTGTCATACAAGTCTTCGCTTAAATGGTAATGTTAGATGGGGTTAACTCCCAAGATTGCTTTGGTTTCCACCTGTTAAGTTTGTAGTTTAGCATAGTTTAATCAATTTTAGTTTATATAAATGCAATCATGCACACCTCTGATTCAGGAAGAGTACTAAAACCACGGTCATTTCTTTCATCAAGGATTCCACCTCCCATCATATTTCGAGCTTCCTCCCTGATCAAGACAAGTCTTGCAAGTAGCTTCCGGTCCGGAACAACGGGCCGAGTTTCCATTGTCTAGAAAACCATTTATAATGCAAAACAATTTTAAATACAACGAAATGTAGCAAGCCTTGCCAATGCAATAAAAAAACTAACAGAAATACACCCCAACCAGTTGTGGTCTAACAAAAGCAGGATAACATAAAAGATGGTAACAGGAAACAAATGTTTTTCAACATTTTATTCTATATCCTAAAGCCCATGCAAAGGTAAAGGAAAGGCTCCAAAAGAAATGGTTTCATAATTGTAGCTCTGAGCAGAACCTTATCCTTTCCCCACCTTAAGTTAAGAATATCAGTCATTCTCTCCATTTTTTTTATTGAAACAAAGTATTAGTCGAAAGGGTATCTTTCCCTCCTTTTTAAATAACAATTATGGAAATATGTAACCTAGCAGGCTAATGTTTTTGACATATCACAGTAAACTTAATGCGCTCCTTCACCTAGGCAATAGCCCAACGCCAAGCCAGTCACCCAGGTAAAGTCAGATTATCTACCAAAAAATAAACCAAAACTAAACTTGGAAACTTTCATATCAAAAGAAACAGTGACTGCAATGAAGGTTGAAAATTTTAAATTCATAAATAGTGAAATAAAAAACTTTAAGGTTGACATTGTTGAAAGTAATGTGTCATTTATAGTTGAAGATGCTGTTCTCTTTTTATTCATCGAGTCATATGTGAAGTTGCATGTAGATCCAATGAGCTTATACTGTGAATGGTTACTTTTTTAACATGATACTATCTCAAAGAAAATAACACTATACTAAAATGCATAAATAACTGCAGTCCGTTTGTTTGCTGATATAGAAGCTGACCTACATCAGTGTTTGGAATATCCTAGGCAAATAATCCACAGCGGCAACTTAATTTACATATTAAAATACACTCAATCAGTACCCAGAAATGCTTATGAAGATGCAATAATCTCCTGGAAGCTCAAGCATCTATCAACTTATACAAAATCATA